TTTTTTTTTCCTTGTCTAGTTCAAGACATAATAGTTCAGGACATAAACTCTTGCTTCTGGGTGTTCCTGAGTAGTGTCTTGTTACATAAAAATGAATTTTAAAAAATGCAAAATACAAGCTGGACACCCCAGCCCCGTGGAGGAGGAGGTAGGAAGACGGGGAGTTCGTTATCGTTCTTAGCTACATAATAAGTTTAGGACCAGCCTGGGCTACGTTACACCTTGTCTCAAAGCCACAACAAGCTCGAAGTGAAAAACCCGAAAAGAAAGGACAAAGGACCTTACACAGTGTAGCAGTGGCATTTGCAAAGACAGATGAAAAGCTTCTTTCTTCTTGGGGGTTTTCCACACTTAGTATGTGCCAGAAATCTCACACTCACACCCAACTTCTATCAGTAACAGGTCTATATGGTCAGACCTGTCAACACATGAAAGCCACAGAGTATGAATACAAGAAAGGTAAAAACTTTCCCACACAAGGGGTGCCCTGGAGGAAGTCTATGCTCATCATAATGTTAGCACACACACCAAAGTTACTTACTGTTTGGCTTTTATCCTGGAGTGTCCCCAGAGTCTGAGTCTCTGTCACACACATATACAAAGGGGAGGAAATAGACAATAGTTAAGAATGGTTTTTAAACTCCAGATCAAAGAAAAAAATAAACAAGAGACTTGGCTTTAGAGGGGTTCCCAGGTGTTCATGGAGATGTCCCCAGCTAGGTCCTTGGGCAGCTGAGGAGAGGGTGCCTGAACTGGCCTTATCCCATAGCCACACTGATGAATATCTTGCATATCACCATAGAACCTTCATCAGGCGATAGATGGAGATAGAGACAGAGACTCACATTGGAGCACTGGACTGAGCTCCCAAGGTCCAGATGAAGAGCAGAAGGAGGGAGAACATGAGCAAGGAAGTCAGGACCATGAGGGGTGCACCCACCCACTGAGACAGTGGGGCTGATCTAATGGGAGCTCACCAAGTCCAGCTGGACAGGGACTGAACAAGCATGTGATCAGACCAGACTCTGAATGAGGGCTGACTGAGAAGCCAATGATAATGGCACTGGGTTTTGATTCTACTACATGTACTGGCTTTTGGGAGCCTAGTCTGTTTGGATGCACACCTTCCTAGACCTGGATGGAGTGGGGAGGGCCTTGGGGCTTCCAAAGCCTTCCTCAGGGATTCAAGTATGATTGTTGATAGCATGTTCAGAAAATGTCCACTGTCTCTTTCTCCTGGCCTGATGCTCCCCTCCAGAGGTTCCTCCTACCAAACTAAACCTGCCTCCTTGTTCAGCCGTATGTAATAGCCTCACCTCCCTGTTCAACTCTATATAAGAAACGTGCTGAGTTTCCCAGGTGCTGAGGCTTCGCCATCCAAGAACACAGCTTTTGTGCGTGTCTATGTGTTTCTAATTTTTTCATTTCTCTCCACTTCAGTAAGCGGTCAAGTCCCTGGAGCTGGGCAAAGACGTGGCAGTATGTAAAGAGATTCAAGGACAAAAAATTCAAATGATAGTAGACCCAGAAAGGGCCTGTGACCAAGTTTAACATGACTTTGTGCTAAAAGAAGCTGAGAAGAAACTAGGACTAGCAAATCTGAGCCTAACTAACTGACTGTGGTTTAAAGATTACAAATATGGTCTCAGCCTAACATCATTTAGGGGGGGAAAGCGCTCCAGCTTTGTTTTCATTACCTGAAAGCAACTTAAAGCAGCAAAACCACAGGGTGGAACCTCAGAGTAAACAGGAATCTTCACCACAGCCAATATTTGAAATGGAAATGTCACTTCTGCTTCCCCATCATGGCAATTCGTGGTCTAAGTGGCAAGACTGACTTGTTCTCTCTCTCTCTCTCTCTCTCTCTCTCTCTCTCTCTCTCTCTCTCTCTCTCTCTCTCTTTCTCTTTCCCTTGTGTATGTGTCAGTCTTTCTCTGTGTATATGTCTCTGTGTGTGTCTCTCTCTCCCTCTCTCTGTCTCTTTCTCTCTGTCTCTCTCTTCCTTTTTGAGACTGTGTCTCAAGTAGTCCAGGTTGCCTTCAAAAGCCAGGTGATCTTGAACTCATGATCCTCCTACCTCCCCTTCCTGAGTGAGAGTTAGCAGGCCTGTGCCACCATACTTGATTCACGTCCTGCTGGGGACAAAACTCAGGGCTTCCATGGCTAGACAAAGACTCTGCTAATTCAGTAATACCTCCAGCCCTGACCTCTTTACTTTTCTCCTCTATTTCGTTTCACTATAAACAAAAACAAGAGATGTCTGTAATGTTGTTTTCTGTTTTACTTGGAGAACTGAAGATTGCACTAGAAACAGGCATCAGGGAGGAATAAAATGGTCATGAATGTATATAGATACCACGGTTACTGTCTGCTAGGCACTGAGGTACCAGCAATGGTTCTTAGCACCGTTAATCTTTTTTATAGTTATTTGGTTGGATTTCTTCCTTCCTTTCTTTCTTTTTTTCCTTTTTCTTTCTTTCTTTCTTTCTTTCTTTCTTTTTTTTTTTTTTTTTTTGAGACACGGTCTCTCTCTCTATGTAACCCTGGCTATACAGCAACTTGCTATATAGATCAAGTTGGCATGGGAATTTGCAAAGATCCTTCTGC